AATGCCACTTTTGCATGTTTTGATCTATTATTCTTTATTATTATTTCCCATATTCTAGGATGAGGTTTAAAAACATTGTGTATAACGAACTAAACACAAATTAAGCCCCTCAAGTACATCATTTCTCCTTTTAATTTGTCCATTATTTTTTTTTGAAGAAAAAAATCTCAATCTTTCTTTTATCCCCAAGATGCTCACATTTTCGATGATTCCAGCATAGGAGACTTGGGGGGGACGGGACTGAAAAGGGTATGGTTTAAATATATACGTTTTCCCTTCCTAAATTAAAATTTTCAACTGCCAAATAAGGATATTGCATGGAAAAATAGTTCAATTGTTTTTACTAAAATTTCTCTACTTAACAGTGGGAGGAGGGGTATTTTTTTCATTTCTCATGCCAAATGCTTTCTTGGTCCTCAGTAAGGAAGCCAACCCCAGAAATATTCACCTGGAAAAGCTGAAAGATAAATGCTCGGAATAGAGAGAGATAAAGTAGAAGGAAACTTCGAGTAGCCCAAGTAAACAATGGCAGCCAAATGAGAGACTAGCAGAAAAGACACAACTTTTAAACAAAAGGTTAGCGGCCCAACGTGTTTGCAACGAAACAAACATCATTATTGTTTGCTTTAATTGGGTTTTATTCTTTTATAAAACATACATATATCATGATTGGGTTCCCATTAAAAAGTCCCCCTATGGTTTATAATAATAAAGTTTCGACAGACACACACAGACACAGACACACACACACACACAAACACAATTCACAGCCAAAAGAAAAGAGAAACTAAATCAGCACTAAAACAACTCAGGAAGAAATGCCCGTATAAGCTTTTATTAAAAAGGTGGTGGGGGGGTTGATGTACAGCAACACAACATCTTCGGATCGCTACGATCCCCCTCCGCCCCGTACACTTGTTTCCAGCAGGATCCCCGGTTTTGGGGTTTTTAAAGCTTTCAGGAGAAACGCAGAGGCTGCCCAAAGAGGACGCCCTGCATTTTATTCCAGGGTGTTGTGTTGTTTCGGGGCAAATAGGGTGCTCTGGGGTGGAGATTCCGGTCAGCCTTCCCAGAAGTATAAAGGGCCCCCCTCTTGTCAGTCGCAGACTCCCCAAAGGGCGCGCGAACCCCAACTTCTCCTCCTCCTCCTCCTCCTCCTTCCCGAGGTCGCAAGAACCCCAGACGGACCGACGGGCGGAGACATGCAGATCAGCTGGGCGCTGATAGGTGATTCCCGGGCTTTCCTCCGCTTTGGCTCGGCCCCTGGTGGCAGCGTTTTATAAACAGGCGGCTCTCCCGCAAGGCACAACACAGTCCTAGCGGGCAGCTTTGGCTCGGTGTAGACAGGCGGCGGCGGCCAGAGTCTAACGAGGGCGGTGGGCTCTTCGCTGGGCCCCTTCTTCTCCCGGGGCCGTTCTTGGCCTCTGCCTGGGCATAAGGCCATTCCTTTCCAACTTCAGCTACAGTGCTAGCTAAGTTTGGAAAGACCAAACCGAGGGAAACCGCTGCGCCCTCCTTGCACCCCTTCTTACCCCGCACCCCGTGTTTCTCTTTTCTGGACCTCGCTCTCATCTACTTTCCACCTTCTCCCTTTCTCTTGTGTTGCTTTCTGCGCCTGAAAAGGGCTCGGCAGCCTCCGCAACTGAGCAAAAGAGAGAAAGGAGAGGGGACCCCGGATTGCCATGGCTCGGTCTGCAACAGAACAACAAAACAGCCGAGGCTGTTGCGGTGAGTGCGCGATGGGCGGGCG